CTTCGTTGCAAACTAAAAAGCTCAATATAACATAATGTTTCTCTCCTCCTGTCTCCTTTACACCCCCGAGAAATCAGGGAGGGTCTCTTTTGAACCTCTTGCTCCACCCAATGTCCAGCTGTGGGCTATGCTCCCTCTTATCTGACCGTTCCCTAGGCAGTGTCTCTGGGCCCAGTCTCCCCAGTCATTCCCACATACCATTACAAATCCAATAATGCTTCAGGATCATCCCCCACACAAAAAAGTGGGGGGGTAACATGGGCTGCAGATACCCCATCCTCACTCCACACTTTCATGTAGCAGTTGCACTGAAGCCAGCTGGAAATTCTCAACCATTTCTTGAGTTTCAAAAGGTAAAATATGCTACCTAAGATATTCTACTGAAACTGAATACTAGAGCAAGACATGTCAGGAGCAAAAGGCAAGTCAATTGGTAACAAGGGGGTGTATCTAAGAAGCCCGGTCCTACGTTGGTTTAGCCACTCCAGGCAACTTGTGAAAACTGATACCCTTGAACAAAACTGGGGTGTCTGAAAAGATGGTATCAGATTCCTGCCGATTTTTGAAACCATGGATTATCCTCCCACAAGGGTTACATCTGCAATGTTTTGGAACATGTTTCAAAATACGCGGCCACATATTTTGTTTTCCTTCTCTTTGTTGTACTGTTTTTCCATTCTACGTACATACAGCAACAGTACAGATTAATTTAGGTTTGTTATCTACTAACAGTGTTGCATCTGCCATGAACAGACTCCTGTTTCCTGAACACATAAAGAGTGAACAGCAGATGCAAGAGGTAGATCATTTCTCTGTAATAAAGCACCTGCTTTCCATACTGAAGGTCCTGAGTTCAAGCCTCAGCATCTCTGGTTGAAAAGCAAGAGGATTTTGCTCTGAAATCCTAACAATTTAGTTCCAATTAGAATACACTATATTTGACTAGATGGCCAAACTGGTATGCAAAAGCATTGTTCTACCAAGTAATCATCTGTGGGAATGACCTTGGGAGACTGGAGGAAGAGCCGCAGACTAGGCAATGGTCAGATAAGTGGCAGCTGAGACTGCAGAAGGAATGGGGGTGTGGCAAATGTCTCAGATGGGACCCTCCCTAGTTTCTTGGACCGTAAAGGTGACAGGGGAGAAATATACCTTCAGACTTGCAATCTTACAATAAAAATATAGCATCCATTATCATGCTTCTTGCCTGGGCTACCTCAAAGGGCTGACAGTGCAGAGTCACTAAGCAGAAAATGGAATCTGGTCCTTTCATGTCTGCGCCAAACCCTTCCCATGGCATCACAGCAGCGCTCATTTCACCATATTACAGTGGACAGGAATGAAGTCAGAACCAGAAGAACAAGTGGCAGAGGGAACCAAGAAGAAGAAGATTGTGATCCGTGTCAGCCTGCAACCTAAGAACTGGATTGGTTTTTAAGGCGCTCCAAGACTCATGATGCTTGCTGCAAAGCTATCTCCCCCACTTCCTCCAGAAACCAAAGCAGATGCCCGCTCTTACCATTCATTCGACTGTAGTGTAGGGGAATCGTTCTGGGCTATGTGATATAAGGCACTCATAGCGTTCATATTGAAGAGAGGAGGTTTCCGTTCCGCTGCAAGGAAAAGGAGAGGGAGCCATGGAAGGAAGGGAAGAAACTAAAGTCCTCATCTACTGCATCCAGAAAGACCACAGAGCAATTTAGTTTGGGATTAGGGGAGGCCATCCTAGGACATATTATGTGAAAAGGTGGCCTGTAAAATCTCCAGCATAAATATATTCCCTGGAGTAACATAGTAGGTAAAGAATCATCAGGGGAACAAGAACAAAACCCCAGCAAGGAATTGTGTGCAGAAAACCAGAGAAAATCCTAAAATGATGGAAGTTGAATGCTGTGATCTTTCTAGGATGGTCCCACGTGCTCATATATTCTTCTTCTACATAGTCTCTGATTTCTCAGTTCCAGGGACAAACGTTGTGAGGTTTCTCATCTGCCAGCAATGTACCCACTGCCTTCAATTCTGGGACTTTGTTGATAGTGTAAGAAAAGCAGTAAAATTTAATGCAGTACTCAAGGAACCTAAATTAAAAAATGAGGGCAAAAATATATTCCTAAGGCCTCATCACAGTTTGCAATCCTACTGTCAGCTCCTCGCCGCCTAGTGTCTAGTGTCTAGACACTAGTGTCTCTTACGCTAGTGCCAGAGACAAAGGACAGAATCTTGGAAACTGCAAGAGGAAGTTCCAACTTTCATTTATTAGTGAGTTGATGAAGGCTCAAGTTCATCATCATGGCATCAAGGCTTCAAGTTGACCATCTTCTCTTTGAAGATGATGATCTGGGCTGAGTTGCCATTTATGAGTTCAGCTGACAATGGACTTCCCTGTTTGTTTGTTAATGTCTAATGTTCCTTCTATTACTGTGTCAGCCTCCTCACCATCTCTCATATATACCACTAGGCTATATCCTTGAACAGGAGATCATCAGAGAACTTCATGAATATAGGCTAGACTGGGGAGTTGAAAAAACAAGGCAGTTGTAAACCATTTCCATAATGTTAGAAAGAAAGCCAGATGGACGTGTTCATCTATTCACCAGGAGTTAAATTCAATTCAAGGGGTTCAATTTGGGTTTTTTTTTTTTAGTTTCTTAGTTCTGTTTTATACTAATTTACGTGTTCACTCCTGTAAACACGCTTGAGGATTTTATGAAACAGAATGATGGGTAGAGGGGCTTGGGCCATAAGGCATAGACGTTTGTTGGTTTTGTTTTATTTGAAGAGTGCAACTTTACAGAACAGAAGATCGTTTGCACAAACCAATCATTCAGGGGGCTTTGAGGAACTGAAAAAGAGATGTCACACATTTTACACCACTGTTTTAAGGCTGTTTGTGTAAGAAGCTTTCCAACAGAAAACGACAATCCAACAGAATGTCAGGATTTTCTCAGGGGAAAGAAGTTCATCCCGTTATCTGTACAACAATATTATGGCAATATGAACACTGCTGTACTCTGCTCAACACAGAAGACGATTTCCAATCGAAAATTAAAATATGGAATTAGCCATGCTGACCTATTGTATTAAATTCAACAGTTGGCAATGCACATGTACTCACCTAACTCTATGCACGTAATTCCAAGAGACCAAACATCTACCTTCCCGTCATACTGTCCATCATCCATAGCCAAGATTACTTCTGGAGCCATCCTACCACGCATGAATTCAAAGAGTGAAGGTTATGGGATGCCAAAAGGAAAAAGGCATAGCACTGCAAAAAAAATGCACTCACCCCCCCCCCTTCAAGTCCTCTTGACCAACCCAGGAGTCCCACAACTCAAAAAATAAATCAGCATGGGACATAATTAAGCCATGCCGGGGAGAAAAAGGAAATAAATTAATCGCACTCGCCTACTTAAGCAAAGAATTTCTTCCCGGGATGATACGGATGTATGAGAGTGCAAAACCAAAGGGTCTAATGATCCATCTCAGTGCAACATGCTGGCAAACGGGCAGCCCGCACCAAGCTCCCTGGCACTGTACCTGGATTCAACCAGCACGGGCTGCAAGTGTCCTAAGGCAACAATTTCAGTCTCACCAGAGATGGTGAGTTTTCCCATTGACACACCAACAGTTTTTTCCTGGAGATGTTCAGCCTGGGATTGCAGCTATGAAAGAAATAAGGGGATCTGGAGCACAGGAGGGAAAGTGGGGAGAAGGCAGGGGTACAAGGCAAAAACAGCAGGGAAACCCACACTGCAGGCATGTTCGGGCGTTGACTTGGAAGAGGGAATAGACCAACAATCAGCTGCAGGGGTCTGTGTCCTCCTCATATAAGCATAACTTCATGTCCTGATGGGTCCCCCCATCTAATGAAACTGGAAATGAGTAAGGGTATCAAAGTAGCTTTGGGGGAAGAGGAAGTTTTATAGAAGGACCCCTTCAGGTTTTGTAGACAACCAACAAACTAAGGGTCTGCAGGGTCATCTGATCACATCTCAAAAGATTAGATCTGGAAGTTTTCCACCCAGGTCTGGTGCAGAAGAACAGCACCTTTTGTTCTCAACATTCTCAGCAACGTCACGGAACAGAAACAACAGGAAAAAAAGGCTACGTGAACAAATGGTGGGTTCTCTGCTCATCTCTGGCACGAAGACGAGTCTTAAGGCCACCTGATAAGGCTTAACTCCCTTCAACCCATCCCTAACTCATTGCATGTTGCAGAAAACACCTCTGAGGGCAGATGCAACTTGGAATCAAAACATCTCCCCAAGGAGGAGCTCCTGCAAGGCAAGGAAAGACTGCAGCTTCTGGAGGAAGATTTTAAAACCAGAAGAGTGGGGGACTATATTGTGCATTTTATGTATTCTATTATAAGCCACCTAGAGCCCCATAAAAGTGAGATGGGCAGCTATAAAAATCAAATAAATAAATCAACCAACCAACCTATGGGCATCTGAGATGGGCGGCTATCTAAATCAAATCAAATCAAATCAAATCAAATCAAATCAAATCAAACCAAACCAAACCAAACCAAACCCAACCCAACCCAACCCAACCAATAATAAACAGGTAACCCAACCAACCAACCAGCCAACCAACCTGGGGACATCTAGAAGTTGCCATGCATTGGAAGCTCACACCAGAATGACATAAACAAAATGTGCACAAGGACATAGTGACTGAGGAGGCTTGTGTAGGACATTTTTAAGGCAGCTGGGGCAGATATAGACAAAGAAAGCAAGCACTCTACAATATTCTTATTACAAAAATGACGGCGTAGTGGATTTATACTACACATTCCCCAGAAGTTGCCGAACCACTAGGCTAGCAGGACAGTCTCCCAATATTCAGCCTCTGAAACACTTGTTCTTTTTCTAGTACACCTCCCTGGTACCACAAAACTGGGAACCTAACTGCATCACAGATTGGTTTTAGTTTTTTTTTTGTTTGTTTGTTTGTTTTTGGGGAGATGGGAAAAAAAACCATTTAAAATGGCCGTCCAGGTTCCAACGTCCAGCATCTAGAGTGCCAGGATGGTAGAACAGCAGGTTTTCCTATAGATTCTTGATCCAGAACAAGGTTTTCCAAGCTTAGCAATTTCCAGATGTGTGGACTTCAATTCCCAGAATTCTCAGGAACAGCCATGCCGACCGAAGCATTCTGAGAGTTGTCCACATACACGGAAGTTGGCAGGGTTGGGAAATACAGATTTTGAAAGTCAGAATTATATTTAAAAGAGAAATCAATGCTTTCCCCCCCATTTGTTAAGTGTCCCTTGCAAGACTACAGGAAAAGTGCACATCAGCTTCCCTTACCAGTAAGGTGTCCCCACGAAAGAATTGGCAGGAGAGGCTATAGAAGCAGATCCAAAGTCTGCTAGTTTCACTTGACCTGGTTCTGTTAGGAGAATGTTTCCTGCCTTAATATCCCTGTAGAAAAGGAGAAAAACCATAATTGTGGTTGTCAAACATTATTGATAATCTATATGCTACTAAAACTCTCATGTCTGTGACCTTCAGCTGGGTGAAACAGTTCATCATAGGGACATAATTTTTGAACCAAGAAACCTCAAATGGGCTAGCTTACAGAATGCATCCAAAATCCGGGACCCATTACTACTGTGGGATTGAAATTTGGGGAATTTGTGGCTGCTTCAGCACTGTTGTGCTGCTGCACTGCCATGGTCAGCCAGGTCATGTGATTGTCATGGACATATCCCTGACCTTTTCCCACCTCCCTCTGTCCCCTGCGCCCAATCGGCTGGTGGCAAGGCCCGATGGGTGAGCAGCAATTGGCTGCTTTGGAAATGAGGCAGTAATGTGAAATCTCTGTGGTGGACTAGATGTCCCTGTGAGCATCTTCGCAAGCAAGGACAACCCTGCAGCAAAATTGGTGGTCAGGAGACAGGTTCTGGTCAACAAAAATCTCTCCAGAAGAAGAAAAGATTGAGCAGTTGCCCACTTGTGCTCTGGATAGCTGTTTCTCACAAGGAGACCACAGGAACTGAGTTTCTTGTGGTCAATCATGAGTTGAGTGGCTTGGGAGCCAAGGAAATATCAACACACCCTAAATCACGGTGTGGCCTTTTTGGACACATGACTGGCAAAAACCTCACTTTCTTAAGCAGCTTTGGATATAATTAATTTTCAGCCTAAGAGAGATATTCCAAAAGGCAGGGAAGAACAAAGACACTAGGTGAGTTGCCTTCTTTTTGGAATTAAGAAGAGAAAAAAAAATACTGTCTTAAAGGATTTTAATTTAAAAGCAAAAAAGCTTAACAAGATTGTGATTCAAGAAAGTTTTAAAGGGATAAAGGAGACAGTAATTTTAGAAAACAGAATCATAATTTTTTTTTTCCTGAGGAAAGTGCCTTTGAAAATAGTAAAATGAATTAGACAAACAGACTGGACGTATTGTCGAAGGCTTTCACAGCCAGCATACGATGGCTGGTGTGGGTCTTCCGGGCTGT